AAGTTTCACCTATGAGAGGAGTTAAGAGGTTTCATACCAAGGGAAAGTTGTCACCTAGGTATGTGGGACCATTCAAGATCATCAACAGGAGAGGAGAAGTTGCTTACCAGCTGGAATTACTGGAACAGTTCTCAGGTGTTCATGATGTCTTCCATGTATCGCAGCTTAAGAAATATTTAAGAGTACGTGAGGAACAATTACCTTTGGAAGAACTAGATATCCAAGAGGATCTATCATATAAAGAATATCCAGTGAGAATTTTGGAAACAGCGGAGAGAATCACAAGGAGTAGGATTATAAGAATGTGTAAGGTTCAATGGAACAGACACTCTATGGATGAGGCAACCTGGGAAAGAGAGGATGATCTGAAATCTGACTATCCCAATCTTTTCGAACCATTTGAATCTCAAGGGCGAGATTCATCTTAAGGGGGGTAGGTTTGTAACACCCAAAAATTCCAACTGCAAATTAGTAATTAAATTGAGCATTTATTTGATTTTCTATGCATTTTAACCTAGGCCAAATAATAAATTTTAGTTAATTAAAATTAACTACAAGGTTTAAAAACATGTTTGTTGCATTCATGCCTAAGCATACTATTTTTAGTTGAGTATAGGGCTAGGTTGTTAAGGTTGAATTCAAATTTTATTTGAATTTGATCAATTTTCAAAACTCTAAAAATAGGAAAGGAATTCCTTTTAAAACCTTCCTTCTTTCTCCTATCTAGCCCAACTCTAGAATCGGCCCAACCTCCTTCACACAGACTTGGCTCCTTAGCCTTGGCTCATTGGTGGCCCAGCCCGCACTTCCTTCCTCATCCTCACAACGACGCTGCTGCTCAGCCATTGCCGCTTCCATGCCTTGGCTTTCACCCGCGCGCTGCCTGTGCATCGCCCATCATCATGCCGCGGCACTATCTTCCCGCATGCGCTAGGCTCCACTATCTTCCTCTCGCTACGATGTAGGACCCACCCATCAGCCGCCCGCCTTACTTTCCTTTCTTCACCGCTCGGTGATGGCGCTGCCGTCTACGGCAACACGTAGCCACGCGTCCGCGCTCGCATGGAAGGGGCTCGCAAATCCGTGAATCGCAGTCCACACGCTTGCTTTCCATTCTCACAGTGCCCCTATCGCCTATAAAGCCCGTAGCCGAGCCCTCCCTTTCTCCCTTCCATTCGACGCAACCGAGCTCGCACTGCCGCTGTCGTCCACCTGCTCCGGTGCCCAATCAACGCCTCTGACGCACCCCGAAGCTTCGTCGTCACTCACCACGATAGTAGGTGCCCTTATTCCTTTGTTTTGGCCTTGGATTACATGAGATTACCCTAACCCGTGACCTTCTTCTCTCTCCAGTTCACCGCCGCCGTCGACCCGGACCCTCGGAGCTCTCCCGGACGCCGCCGCTACCACCTCCGTCGGACTCGCGGTGAGCTGCTCCACCTTCCTCGTGCCCCATTTCTTTGAATGATGCCCTAGAGCGCCATATCGACGACCTCCAGTCACGCCGGCCATGGCGCCACCACGAGGCCGTCGTCCCGAACGTGCTTCCCCACCATTCCTTTGGGTCGTATCGGACTCGCGTTGATGCACTCATTGATCTCGTGCCCTCGGCTTGGTCTGGGGTGGCCGGAATCGCCCGTACCAGCGACACCGACGAGCTCGGGCCACCGGCACCCATGGCGCCACCGTGCGGGCATAGCACACCGGCGAGGAAAGTCGTTTGTTTCATTAGCACAATCGTCGAACGGCTCTAATTAGAGCATACCCCTTCTGGGTCTTAATCGATTCACCGTGGGCTATGGACTCGGCCCACAGCGCCGCGTCAGCGCGTGCCCACTCACATGTGGTGCACCGCGCCAACCAGAGTGAGCCGCGTGGCATCTAGTCAGCAGCCACGCGGGTCAACCCACGGTCAGCCATGCACGTTTTGCAAATTAGCCCCTCGGTTTTCAGTGAATCAACCCGCGGTCCAATATAGTTCAAAAGTATTAGTTTTCAGTCCTGTTTTTATTCGTTTTAGCCCCTATAGTTTTCGGAAATAATGCACGCAGTCAATAATCCGTGTAAATTCAGATTTTAATTGTTTTAATTCAAAAATGAGTTTGGTTTATTTACAGAAATGCCATTGGAACCTTATTTCATGCATAATTTTTGTGTTTTAAGTCCGATTTGAGTGATTCTTTCGCTCATGTGTTCGTAGCAGCTACGTAGATTAGTTTTATAAGCTTTTTAATTTATGTTTCTACTGTTTGGTGTACTATTCTAATAGAAGTCTATTTGTATACATGTAATGATTGGATTAGATGCTTGATTGGTGAATTGGAACACGTTTAGAGGGTGATCAGTTCGAGGTGACTGAGGATCGGCAGGGAGACTAGCAATACCAAGAGGAAAACTGTGAGGAAGGCAAGTGTAGCAAAGGCCCCTTGTACCTACGAACTCTACAATTCATTTACATGCATATGTCTAAATTTGAATTACCTTTAAGGACTTTACTTAGATTATTACTTGTACCACATATCCTTGTTACCTATTATTTGGGATGCATTTTGGATAGATGTTGTAGCGCTCAAAATAAAATAATTGTTAAACATGACTAAAGGTATTATGCAATGTGATAAAATGGAGCTTTTTAGCAATAATAAGGGGGCTAGAGTATGGGGTTGAGTGCTCTAGTGCCTCTTCATAAGGACTTAATCCTAAAGCGGCCACTCAGGAGGTTCGTACAACCCCGAGTGTCATATGGCTCTGACTTTAACCTATTAACTAGATTGTACTAGCTCGTCTATAGCTTTCCATAAAGGGCAAGATGGGGGCACTAGTTGGTATGTTTCCTTTCCTCCTAGGGTGTGTACCGTGCCACGACCACGCGTGCCACTCCTAGAGGAGGGCCACATATGGCTAGACGGCTGATACCTTAGCAGCTATGACTTGTTAGTGTGACTAGCGAAGGGTTACGTAGTGAAACCCTGCCACACTTCCTAGGCAGAGGTGTTGTGGGCTTTGCAAACCCCTGGCATTGGGAATCATGGCTCGGTGGGTAAAGTTGTACAATTTCTCTAGAAATATTTAACCTATTATAACAGTCGTGCTCACGGATACGAGCGATCTGGATCATTCATGATTAGTGGTTACTCTAGATGGTTGAGAAATGGATATAATCTTGATTATTCACTATTACCACTTGGGATTGGGATTATTCACTAAAGTAGTGATTTAGGATGCTAAAACTTGACCAACTAAAATTGCGAACCGCAGTCAAACCGTGTCTAGCCTTTGAGCCTCATAGATCCCTTTAATATACTCCGTGGCACTCTTTTTTTGCATAAAGTGAGGAGGAGCTGCAAGAAGCTGGCACTCTGCATGGATACTCCGTGGAAGATGTCGTATGACCCGGACCTATCTAGTTCCTTAAGCTCAAGCACTATGCCGACACGAGCAGGTTCCTCCAACACGATGGCTAGTGGGATCTCTTATGTTCGTACTCCCGGCAATGCAGGCAAGGGCCCTGCGGAGCACGACGTTGAAGAGGACGAGGATGAGGAGGACGAGGAGGACTACGATGAGATTGGGATGTCTTAGCTTGGTGATGCACAATTTTCTACACAGTTCGACGAACAGGTACTTGAAACAACCCTTCGCCATATACGTCACAATTACTTAAACATTGTAAGTAACGATGCCTATATTGTAATTGCAGGGTCCTAGTTACACTCAACAGTAACGTCGGGTGTACCGCCAGCGAGGCCGTACCGACGTTGGGTTCACCCCTAACGTGCTGCCTTCACGTCCGAAGAGGCAGCGACGTCCGCGGTACCCATATACTCCTAGGTCGTAGGAGTTCTTTAGGATGACATGATGCACTTGTACTCGGACACCCATATACTGATGGAACATGTAGTATGTCGAGTAATGTCGAACTTATGTATTGATGAACTTATATTGAACAGAGGTATTGTCGAACTTGCGATGAATTTGGGACGTGTACAATTTATTATTGCTGAACTTGTGTATTGATTGTCTCGTGCACTTAACCTTCCTGCTGATCTATTTGTTAAACCGACACAACGAAATAACTTGGCTCATGTGAAAACATAACAGAAGTGCCTTGTTTCTTTTGCTGTCGCTTTGACCGCCGCGCCAAGGTTGGGGCGCGTCAGCCTTGCTGCGCCATGATGGGTAGCGCGGCACCGCCGTGCCATGATGCACGACGCGTCGGCTGCGCCACTCAGCTAACTAGCGGGCTGGGACGTTGCCACATTGGCACCCCTGTCGCACTCCCATGCATGGCGCGACAACTTGAATTCGTCACGCTATGCGAATAGGCGCGGCCAAAAGTGTTAGATTTGGAAAAAAACGAAAATGCTATACAACAACCTGGTGTTTTATCACCTGGTGGCACGAATTTTTTTTGCCGTGGAACCGCACGTCCGCCGCGCCTGCGCCACCGCGCCCGCGTCGCTGCAACACCTGCGCCGCCGTGCCTGATCCTGCCCATCCCCGCGCCGCCGCCCCCGGCATCCTTCTCAAGTCCGGCGAGCTTCTTCCCCAACTCCAGCTCCGCCACCAAATTTGTCTCTGTCCTTTCGTAGAAAAAATTTGTTACTTGTGATTTGTGCTAGGGAGGAAGAGAAGAGACGAGAAAGATGAACAGTATCTATGGAGAAAATTTCATGTGTTACTGGGTGCTAAAACACCCGGATGTTAAAAAGATAGGCTAAAAAAATTAAAAAATGTCAGATTTAAAAATAATTTTAAAAAAATATTAAAACTAAAAAAAATCCAAATCTCAATGATTAAATCGCGACAAGGACTCGTCATCCGCTCCATTGCCGCTGCCCTTATCAATATCATCAGCGCTCCTGACCTGTTCGTTTGCTCGTAAATGATCGTAAATTTCCAGTCAGAAATAGTATTTTCCTTGCACATTAAATCAGGCAGCCGTAAATAATACACGATATGATACGGCCTCGCGAATGGGCTGAGAACTGGGGAGATCGATGGGCACGCCAGACCCGCCGCCGCGGCCAGGGAAGCCCCCGCTGCCGTGGCGCGCGCGGCTGCTTGTGGGCGCCGCCTCCGCGCTGCACGCCGCCTCGCTCCGCCGCGACGGCACCGTCAACCGCTTCCTGCTCTCCCTGTTCGACCGCACCGCGGCACCCACCCCGACGGCCCCCGTCGGCGGCGTGGCATCCACGGACCACGCCGTCTCCGACCACCTGCGCGTCCGGCTCTTCGTCCCAGAGATCCCCGGCGGCGGCGGCAAAGAGCTCCCGGTGGTCCTGTACTTCCACGGAGGCGGCTTCGTCTTCCACTCCGCGGCGTCGGCGCAGTTCGACGACCTCTGCCGCCGCCTGGCGTCGGCCATCCCAGCCGTCATCGCCTCCGTGGACTACCGCCTCGCACCCGAGCACCGCTTCCCGGCCCAGTACGACGACGGCGAGGCGGCCCTCCGGTGGGTCCTCGCCGGCGCGGGTGGCGCGCTGCCGTCTCCGTCTCCGTCTGCCCCCGCCGCCGCCGCCTTCGTGGCCGGGGACAGCTCCGGCGGCAACGTCGCCCACCACGTCGCCGCGCGCCTCCCCGACGCCGTCGCGGGCCTGGTCGCTGTGCAGCCCTTCTTCGGCGGCGAGGCGCCGACGGAGTCGGAGCTGCGGCTCCGCAACGCCCCGTTCGGGGCCCCCGAGCGGCTGGCGTGGCTGTGGCGCGCGTTCCTGCCGCCCGGCGCCACGCGGGACCACGAGGCCGCCAACGTGCCCGCCGCGATCAGGCGCGACGCGGGCGCGGACCGGTGGCGGGCGTTCCCGCCCACGCTGGTGTGCGTCGGCGGGTGGGACGTGCACCAGGACAGGCAGAGGGCGTACGCGGACGCGCTCCGCGCCGCGGGCGCCGAGGAGGTCACCGTGGCGGAGTACCCGGACGCCATCCACGCGTTCTACATTTTGGACGACCTCGCGGACAGCAAGAAGTTTGTGGGCGACGTCGCGGAGTTCGTGAACCGGCACGCACGGCAGCTGAAGAAACGCGCGCTAGACCATGCGAAAGAGTAGTGTAATCCGTTTGCAAGAATCGTAGGAAATCGTAGGACTGGAGAAACTTCCTTGGTGGAAAATTGAAGCAGCGACTGATAGACTGAGCTGCCAGTGTTCGTCCTCAGTCCCTCTGTCATTGTTAGTTACCAGCTGGTTTAGATTGATTGTCAGCTCACTCGACTGTGTAGGCTCCAAAACCTCCCAGCCAATCAATGATCGATTCATTGCAGAGGTTTGTCATCAGGATACTGCTTTGATTTGATGGTCCATAGTGTTACTTGTCATCCTGATCTACTATTGCCGTCTCCAAGAATTTTCAGTGTCATTTACAGTCACACTGCCCCTTCGTGGTTTATGTAAGGCCTTTCTAATAGTGGCTTTTGGTTTGTTGATCAGAGCTTCAGGTGATGTAAGTGTATTATAGTTGAGTTATACATTTTGATGTCTTAGGACCTGATTGGCTACCTTTTTGTGGGGTTGTAGCTACAGCTGTTGGCTGTTGCTGCAGAGATCGAATTGTTCAATTTCGTTGTAATGTCTAGTCTGTTTTTTTTTTTTTAATATAATCGGCAGTTTTTCAGCTTGATTCTTTTTTTTTTTTAAACTACTTATTCCTACAGAATGTGCTACTTATATGTAGCTGCAGCCGGAAGAGAATAGCTAATCAGGCTGTTAGCTACGTGTGCTGTCCACCTGTCCCTTTGTAATAGTCGAGGCTTGATGTATCCTCTTTAAAGGATATCTGAAGCGAAAGTTTCCATTATTTGAATTTTTTTTCCAGTTCGTTTTGATAAGATATACAAGAAAAGAAGATGTGCGGTTTTGAACTTTGATGAGAGTCCCCTCAAACAAAAACCAAATGCACCTTGCGGTTCCACTGTGGTGTAAATCAAAAGAGGCCCACCAGAAGGGGAGGATCCACAACTCGCAGAAGCGCTCCAATAGTCCAATGGGCCGTATGGAACTGGCCGAACCGTGCTCTGCCTCTGCACGTGCTCCGCTGCTCGTGAGGCCCAGCCGTGCGCCGCGTTTCCTTCTCTTTTTGCCTGACCGAGTCAGTAGACTAGCAGTTGCAGACTTGCAGTTGCAGGTGGCCTGATCCGCGTTCGGCCGCCGAGTGTTCACCAAAATTCTTGCAGACTTTGGATCTGATTGTTGCCTTCCAATTTTTATCAAACCAAAATCATGGCACGAAACTGCTAAAGTAACTTTGAGTTGGGACCCAGGTCAATCGTTGGTGTGGATTAACCCCTTCCCAGAGTTTGTAATTGACACGGTAGCTCACGATTTGGCTGAGTTCACGTCTATTAATACAAGGCCATGAAAGGCCGAGTACGAGATAAAAAAAATGATGGCAAGACAAAATTTTCTATGATCATCTTCGAAGACCCAGCCGGTAAATCCTCAAGATTGACGAAGTTACCACAGGCGTCCCGCTATCGACGGAAATCTTGCCTACCACTGAATGCACAACGCTGATAAATCCTAAATATTCGCTCCCACGGGAAGTCAAACCTAGGACCTGATGTACTACTGAGGTTCTTGTAACCACTAGCTAGATTATAGATCCTTTCGCTCGAGAAGTCGTGACATTGACAAGCCTAAGTTTTGGTTTGCTATTATTTTAGTTGGACAATAATTAGAAGCCAAACCAGCATACCCTTTGTGACAAATCCACGTGATGTCTAAATTATCATAACAAAAATATCTTTTATATATTATTCTCTTCCAAGAATTGAGTTTGACCTTATTTAAAAGAGTTTTGTCGGATACCACGAGAAGGGGTACCCTAAGCAAGAACCAAAAATGTTGCTTAAACCTTGCAAAAATCAAAGCCAAAAGACTATCGCCAGGTCTCTGCAGAATTCTCCGATTCGCTCGAGGCCTTCTTGCGCCGAGGCCTCATCACGAAGAAGGCGAGCGCGCCACCGAGGCCCTCTCGCCGAGACCCTCTCTGAGAGCCTCTCGCGCCGAAGGCCCTCGGATGGGATGCCAATTCTCCGATTCGCTCGAGGCCGAAGCTCGGCATACATACTCGTAACCTCCGTCCCGACCAAACTCCTCTCGACGAAGCGTCACGTCCCGGATTAATCGCGCCTAACTACTCCCATAAACGTCAACCGCTTTTCAGTACAAGAGTCGGGCGAACGACCGACAGATGCAGGGATCGGGGGCGCAATGGGGGGTTACCGCCATCGTGATCATCATCAGTGCTACCTAACCCCACACATGCAAGGACAAAGCGAAGATGGAAGGTCAAGTCCTTGTCCCTATAGTCTCGAAACCGCAGGAGAGCCCAATCGCTGTTTTACGCCTCGTCCAGAGACCCCGGCGAGGTCTCGGGACGTACTATTCCTTCTCCACCTCGGTCGAGGCCGGGCTCGTCCCGCATCCTCGCTGTCTCGCCTCAATCGCCCCTCGGGCAGCCGTCCCCATCCGTGTAAGTACCCCCAGTTGCGCCTCGTCGCCCCCCACGATTGGCGGGGCATAGCAATAGGGGCGATGGGACGACGGTCAAATCTCCTTTTTACCATTCCCACTAACGGTGCGGGGACTACCGTGCTTTTATGGACACACGCCTCTGCATTTTCCCACCTAAACTGGCAGATGCAGCCGACCACCACAGAGACCGGCAGCATCATACTCGAGTCACCTCCTGTGCCTCGGCAAATCAGGCCTCGGCCCGGCCGGCCCACAAACACCTGCCAGGCCTCGGCGAACCACCAAGTCAAAAATTCACAAGGCACGGCATGTCACCTACAAAGAAGGTCATGCTTACTAAACGTCAACGAGGACCCCTCGACTTCAATGACCTCGAGCATGGCCGCAAGCATGACGCACAAAGATCAAGTACCAATTGCCATTCCCGACATTTGTCTTTGCGCTGAGAATAGGCCACCATCTTCGATCTTCCTCCCTCGCTAAGGCTCCACGTGTAGCTCTCTCATGTACTCCCGGCTCCCTCCTTGTGGCTATAAAAGGAAGCGATCGAGGCCGCTTTCTATGGACCGGGACCACGCCGCCCTCACGCAGCAAAAACGCACTCACTCAATTCACGCGACGCGCTCCCACACGCACGAGAGCAACGACTCAAGCAGCCCGCACCACTCCACGGCGAGACACGGGACTAGCTCCTCTCTCACCCAACTTGTAACCCCTACTACAAGCACTTCGTGCAAAGAATACAAGATCGATCTCCTAGACTGGACGTAGGGCGCCGATTGCCTGAACCAGTATAAACCTTGTGCCTCTTTGCATCACCATTCGGGATTAGGGGGCACGCAGTTCACATTTACTGGTTGGTTGAGGACCCCCCGGTCCGAAACACCGACAGTTGGCGCGCCAGGTAGGGGCCTCTGCTTGTTAGCGTGATCGTCCCAACAAATTCTAGATGGTTGACCCCATACGTCCACTACGTCTCGGCACGGTGGTCTGGTTTGGGAGCCTAGAGTTCATGGCTCTAGGATGTGAGTACGATATGGTACTCCTCACACCCAGAGCCCCACCGGCCGGCAACGACGTCGCGCATCGACAGCCCGGGCGCAGGCGGCGCCCGGGCCGCCGCTCTCGTCACGCTCGCCAGGCACGACGCGAGCGGGACTACTCCGACGCCTCAGGAAGCTGGTCCCAGACGTCCCTCTCCCCTCGGAGAAAGACCAACTTCCCGAGGGACCGGGTCTCGAGCTCCTAGGGTAAACAGAACAGGGGTCAATCCCTACAAAGAAAACTCGGAAGAAGACCACCACGTGAGGAAAGAAAGTGCGAACCTAGGCGACTCCGGGCAGATCGTCGGCCACCACGGACAGCGTCGTCCGAAGTGACCGCTCCGCCAGCCGGCGGTACTGCTCGAACATGTCCCAGCGCCCGCCCTCGGCCGCGTCCTCGAGGGCAAACAGAGGCTCCGCCTCAGGGTCGTCCCAGCTCTGCCACACCACACACGGGTGGTCCCACCCGCGGGGCTCGAGTCGTACCCGCGCGAGGGCCGAGCTTCCCTCGCCCAGGGTCGGAACCGGCTGTTCCACGGCACCGGCCACCTCGCCATCGGCCATCTCCCGCGCCCGGGAAACATCGTCGGAGGAGATCGGAAGGACCTCTACCTCCCGGGCGCTTCCCGGCAACAACGGCAGGCCTTGAACCAGGGGTGCCACCAAGGCTTCCGCCGCCTTCATCTCCACTTCCTGGGCCGACGGCCTCTCCACCACTACACCGGCCTTGGTGGTCCCATGGGCTCTGGCCCCCGCCATCGTGGCCTCGATGGGCGCAGGGGCTTCGACCTCCGCTGCTGCGGCCTCGTCGGTTGCCTCGGCCTCGGAGACCCTGCGGGCCTCGACCTCGGTGGCCTCGGCAACCGAGGACACCCCGGCCACATCCGACTCACGGCCCTAGCCTTCGTGGGGTGGAGGCGCCCCCTCCCCCGTCGGTGTCGGGGTAGCCTCGACAGCCCCTCCTTGGGAGACCGACTCCGTCAGGCCGGCTATCGCCGACGCCACGCCGCGTCGTATGGCGGCTTATGCCCCCGCCACCCAATGGGTGGTGGAGCCGGGGGTCACCTTGAGCGCCTTAAGCGGCGCCAAGGAAGGCACCTCTGCAGGTCGCTTCCGGCTAAAAACATAATACTTACAGGGTCAGCACGAGACAAAGGAACGAACAAAAAATGCTGTGGCGCCACCTAAAGTACGCTTACCTCAACCGGGGCAGCAACCGCTTCGGCACGGTGACCCTCGTCTACAAAGGCGGCGGCGGCGGCTGAAGCACGACCGTCGTATCCGTCGGCGTCGGCCGGTCCTCGACGGACCCCGGTGCCCCCTCGGTGCTCTGCGGGAGCAGTTGCGTCAGCTCCACCGCCACTTGCACCACCGCTGCCGTCGAGCCCGCCGGGCTGATGGCACGCTTGCCCAATGCCCGCTCCTTGGGCGTGTCGGCCTCAGCCCCGAGGCAGGCAATCGCTGACCCCGAGGCGGCTCCTCCTCCTCCTCTTAGGAGCGCCGGGCTACTTGCCAACGCCCCGGGCGCCGTCT